TGTTGACTCCCAGTGCTCGCTCTGAAACGCCACGTCCCGCCACTTCCAGGAGCAGAGGCCGTCAGCCCTGCTCTTGCATTCAGTAGCTCTGCGGCCTTAATCCAGCCACGTGACCTCTCTGAGCCTAGCTGTCTGATCTATCAAGTGAGGACCACAGTACCTGCTTTCTTGCTCTATGTCCAAAGTTAAATGGCATAATATTTGGAAACATGCAGGACACATAGCAGCATGGAACTGAGAAAGGTTCATTTCCTCCACGTAGGTCCTCCTTGACAAGATTATCTTGTTGCTTTAACTTTGAATTAATTCGTTCATTCCTCTACAGACGTTTACTGAGTTACCGCTATGTGCCTGGCCCTCCGTGTGGCACTTTGGCAACCTTTTCTATGGAGCGTCTCCAGGAGCCCTCGTGAGATGAGACTAATGGGGTCCCCATGTGCCTGTCTCTACAGCAGGAGTCACTGCATCCTGCTCAGTGTGAACGAGTGCACGCCCAAAATCCTGAGAGAACAATGATCGCGGCAAGGCCACACTCCCCCGGCAGGCGATTTCTCACTTGCCCTTTCTTTCTGTCTCTGTCTCTCTCCAGCTAGTGCAAAAAATCTAAACAATAAAAATAAAAAGTAACTTCAAACATTCCAAACTACAACAAGATTTTCAATGAAAATATCAAGACAACATGAATTGTAAAATAAGGATTTTTTAAAAGCATATATAATGAAAGAATGAAAGTAGTGCAAAAAATAAAAGTGAGATGGGACCAGCAGTTAGCGTAATGGCTATGTCACTGAATTCCCATGGAGTCGACCGTGGATCGAGTCCCGGACTCGGTGGCTTAAACTCATGCCAGGTGCGTGTGTGTGCGTGCCCAAGATCCTGAGAGGAGAATGGAGGAGAAGGGATTGTGGCGTGGCCATCCCCGCTGGGGGATGAATTCTTGCTTTCTGTCTCTCTGTCTCTCTCTGTCTGTCTGGCGAATACAAGCCCTATAGCAAAAACCTCTAAAAAAATAAATACAAGTGAGCGAGTGCTGGCTCTGCCTAGTGTGACAGCGAGCGAGTCCTTAGAAGCCAGGCCTCAAGGGTGAGTCAAAGGAATGGCCTAGTTTGAGCCTCTTACTTCCCACAAGAGGGAACGTCTGTGTCACCTCGGTCTGTCTTGTAGGAATGTAGGGCTGGCCATCATCATGACTTTAAAGATGGTGTGGGTGGGGACCAGCAGAGGGCAGTGGTTACGTGGCTGGACTCCCACCTGGCCAGCTGTGGTTCAAATCTCAGACCCAGTGGCGTGAAACTCTTTCCAGGCATGTGTGTGTGCATGCCCAAGATCCCGAGAGGAGAATGGAGGAGAAGGGATTGGGGCGTGGCCATCCCCCCTGGGGGGTGATTTCTCGCTTTCCCTCTCACTGTGTCTGTCTGTCTTTTTATTCTGCTAGCTCATGCGCCCTAAGGCAAAAACCTCTACAAAAAGGTAGAGTGGGTGTATGGACATGCGTGGATGTGGGTGTGGTGGGTGGGTGGTCTCCCAGAGGAGGGGGACTCAGACCTGATATTAGAACGACTCCTCTATCCCGCCACGGTACTGACTTTACTATCTCCATGGGCACAATGGCTCCTACCTAATTTGCCCGAGGAGCTGAGAACACTGGCTTCCGGGAGCCCACGGCTCTTAGAGGTCTTTATGTCAGGACACAGCCAGAGACCCCATGGATGCAGCAGCCCCTGGAGGTGTCCTTCCTGTCCTCCCTTCGTGGTTCCCTCTCCCATCCTCAGAGCTATTTCCTCGCCCTCTTGTCTGTAGGCTGTTCTTGCAGGGACAGCTCTTTTCCCGGCTCTCTTGGGAGCAAGATGGGCAGAGTGGGGTGCTGACTCCTTCCCCGAGGGCTGTGTGTGGCACCGGGGCAGGGACTTTTGCTCTTGGGGCTGACATTCTTTATTGGGCCTGTCCTAGGTGTTGTTACTTTCCACTTGAAACTCGAGTCCCTCTGTCACCTTACTTCATTCCTGTGGTGCTGGTCTCTATGGAGCCTCGGTAGCCGTAGCTATAATGGAGGGAGTGGACAATGGTCACTTGTCTTGGGTGGCCCCATTAGTTGAGCTTGGAGACCGAGGTCAGAAGTGGAGGAGCTGGACATTTGGGCCAATCCAGAGCCTCGAGGAGTGAGGACAGAATCCTAGTCATCAGACCCTCCCGGGTTAGCCTTTTAGGTGAGGGGTGGCTGTTCTCATAGGGGAGAATCCCACCTCAGTGGCCCGGGCAGTGCTGGGAACAAATGGAGCCCCAGTGAGCTGTGCTTTGGGGCCAGGTGCTAAGTGGTGTCCAGTAACACCCCAGAGTTCTGTCCACATTTGCGTTGGGATTTCTTGTTGTGATTTGATTTAGGCCCTGGGCCTAAGAGATCAAGTTTCCTGGGCGGTGGACAGGCTGTTTTAGCATAAGTGGTGTGGGCCACCTCTTCTTGGGCAGGTCCTGCTCTGTGGGCCCTGAGAGCCTAAAGAGTCACAGGGATAAACCTAGACACAGACTCAAAGGGGATCTGGTTGAGGGGGTGCCTAGGCAAGCCATGGAGTGCCCAGGTTTCCTTTCTGTACTGCTGGGTCCCTTAGGACAGAGAAGAGCCTGGCCATTTGGGCTTGCTGACATTCTGACTGCTAAGGGGTTGCAGGGCTTGGGGAGCAGACTTCTTCAGAAGGCCCACTGCAGCAGAGACAGCTGTTGAAATCCAGGCATGCTGTGCCCTCAGCCAGTTTCAGATCTTCGCTCCAGCCTGCTCAAGAGTGATCACCTTAGGGAAACTGAGGGAGCTGTGTTTTGACAGCTTAAGGTGAGAAAAAGGGCAGATATCTTATTATGTAGTGAATATGAACTGTAGTCCACTGGTTCTCAATTCTGTTTTAATATCAATATCACTTCATAGTAAAGAACAAAAAAAACCCCAGATCCCTGTGGCCCACCCCTTAGAAAACTGATTCAGCAGGGACTTGAAGTGGGCCTGGGAATGTGTCATGTTTTTTTGGGGGGAGAGATTTTTGCTGTAGGGCATGTGTGTTCACCACAGAGACAGAGAAACAGAGAGCGAGAAAGTGAGAGATACCCCCCCTGCGGGGGGGGGAATGACCACACCACAATCCCTTCCCCTCCATTCTCCTCTCGGGATTTTGGGCATGCATGCACATGTGCCCAGTGTGAGTTTCAAGCTGCTGGGTCCACAGTCAGCCATGTGGGAGTCCAGTGCCTTAACCACTGGGCCATCTGCTGGCCCCAGGAATCTGTCATTTTACTCAGCTTCCAGGTGATCCTTATTTGGAGGCAAGGTTGAGAAGAAGGGCGTGGCTAAATACTGCTTTTCTCAATATAATTTTTATAGACAGTGTATCCTTTGGTCAGAGACACGGGGAGCAGGTGAGGCCTGCAAATCTTGCTGACCCCCAAAGCCCTGGTCTCTAGCCGGCTTACTTTAATTCAGCGGTGGAAGGCCTGTTTAGGTCTAGAACATTCTTGCTGTTTTTTTTTTTTTTTCTGGAAAGCCAACTGCCTTGCAATGTGTTGTGTCCATTTCCCAGCTCAGGTGAAGATGGGGTGCTGGTACCTGCAGAATCCAATCTTCCCTCACCTTGGGAGTCAGGCTGGATCTCACAGACACCCACGACTCCTTCTCTCCATGCACCTAAGTCCTTACACCAGTACTCACTGCACGGGGCCTGGCCTTCTCCCCTGGTTGTGAGGGACGTTCTGCACAGACGAAAAACTCAAGCGATGTGGAGTCCTAAGGAGGGAGACCAGACCAGGGCCCAGCTGGGCCAGTGGCTGTCTGAGCTAAACTCTGTTTGGCTAGACGGTTGCTAGGAGCTGCTCCATCTGCTGGGCCTGGGTGGGGACAACAGCCCGCTGGCTTCCAGATTTGAAGCAGGTTTCCTCAGTTCCTGGGTTGGGTTTGTTGCTCAGTGGAAGGGAGATGGCACAGTGTCCTGCCCTGTCCCCAGATGTTCTCTCGAGGGAGCTAATCTCCGGAGTAGAAATTGAGCAGTGAGGGCTTTGCCCTGACTGTACCAGGCTGTCCATCTCTCTCGCCTGTCCGAGGAAATGGGTCGCTTCTGCTGCAGCAAGGAATCCTGTGAAGTTCCAGGTCTGCAACGAGACCCTGGGCACGTGGAAAGAAAGTGAAGTTAGGTTGGGGCAAGACCTGCTGGCTGACCCTAAAAGCTTACAGGAAGCTGGGAAGAGGCACAGAGGGGTCAGGTACTCAACCCCAGAACAACAGGGAGGTTAAGGGGGTTGAAGGGGTGTCTTGTTCAAGGAGGTGAGAATGAGGGCCAAGGATTTCATGCAGATGGAGACAGAGCCTCCTGAGAGAAAACTGGAATGCCATTTCTAGGGGACCCCACCAGGCATGAGGGCCCCAAATCTGTCCTGGACTTTCAGAGCAGAGGCTAGAGTGATGAGTGTTGAAGAAAATAGAAGCTGATGGAAAACAAAGTGTCCGCGTTCTACTTTCTTTGAGACTCTAAAGGTGCCATGTCCAAGTGACGGGGAAGATGGGCTGATTGGTTTCCACGAACTCTTCACCACGATGCTCT